TGAAACGTTGATAAAAGGGCTTACCGAACCCATCAGCTCATGTCACTTTGTGAATTCAAAGTATGGCAGCACATGTGCTAGGCGTGGAGAATCGAGCGGATTCACTTTGAAAAGCCTCTCTGCAGACTCACATTCAGGTGATTTTTTTCTTTCAATATTGCCACATTATTTCAGCTCCCGGCGCGGAGCTTCGCGTCATTTTTCGAAATGATGAGATGGGGCTCTGAAAAGAACGGTGGTAAGTAGGTGTGTGGATCCTGTTTAGAAGCGGTCAGAAATAGTACGTAACGGTGCTGTGATTTTGTGGCGCTCAACTATAGGCTACAAGTAGTTACGTGACCTTACGGGATGCCACTATTTCGCCATTTATGAATGTTGCATTTGTCGCCATTACCCATTAGGGTTGTCGTAAAAGGGTGTGGAGCTGTTATTGTTTGATAACTGCTGTTTAACGCCGCAGTGCGCGATCCGAAATCACAAGAATGCTGAGTTGTGGGCAAAAGTCGGACCACGGACGGGATTCGAACCCGCATCTTCTGCTTACCGGGCAGTTGCGTTCCCTATTACGCTACCGGGGCCACTTTGTTCGAAGGCAATGGCACAAATAGCCATTGAGCTGAGAGGTCAAAAGTGGCCCCGGTAGTAATGGTAACGCAACTGCCCGGTAAGCAGAAGATGCGGGTTCGAATCCCGTCCGTGGTCCGACTTTTGCCCACAACTCAGCATTCTTGTGCGTGGAGCGTTACTCCCTAATCGCAACACGGACAATTTCCTAGCTAGTTGGCTAGACATACCCAGGCACGAGGGAGAGCTAGTCGGCATGAGAGATGCAGACGTTAAGAGAGTCAACGCGCAGCAGCACTGCCATTGATTGGATTGGGTCCTGGTGGGAATGCTGGATACGTTACCCCCCCCCCCCCTCACCCCTCCCTCTCGCACCTGCCGCAATTGGGAAATAATGCTCTACATCCACTATAAGATGGAGCTCGTTATTTGCTTTGTCTAGTAGACCAATATCTCTACTATTTTCAGAGTTTTCCAACATTCAAACGATAGAAATTCCATGGAAGAGCAAATTCGTTACCGGTGAGAGTGTATCAAGTGCAGCTTAGCCTAGCATACTTCTTAATGATAGTGGATTCAGAAGTGCTCCAGCCACTGGACGAGTACACTCAATCCCTCGTTGAACGAATGGGCCGACTCATCTCGATCACCGGCACAGCCTTTGATTATGACTACGATGGTATCGCTGACGAGAGATCGAGGTTCGATTGAAATATTTTTTAGCTGATTCAGAGTTGGGCAAGACAAGGCCTTCTGAGGGGCAGGTGACACGGGTTCATAGATCCACGACGCTGTGAGTCGCACACATTAGCTAGTAATTGTAAGCTATTTGACGCGCTATACAGCAAGACTCGTGTCTCGAACAAACTAGCTTCTGCGAATGCCGAGCACGCACGACACTGCCGTAATTTCTCTTTCGCCGTAGGGCTCGTGTCACGTCAAATTATCTTGGTTCGGGTGCTAATGCCGCACACGTGTTTCTACTTGCAACCCCCTTTCTCTAGTGCAACCCCTCGGCGCAATGCGTCTAGGCTGGGTTCGTAGTTCGTCAGCATTCACCAGCGTCTACCAGCGTTCACAGCGACCACTAGCGTTCCGAGCGTCCGGCAGCGTCAGCGACTAGGAAAGTGTAGATATCGATCTAGCGTCTGCCAGCGTCCACCAGCGTCTACCAGCGGCAATCAGCGACCAGCAGTAGACTGCTGGTAGAAAGTATGAGGCGGTAGGGGAGGGGGTATCATCTGTCTGCTACCCTCCTATCTCCCCATCTCTACGGTTACAGGCAAAGGATGACCTACTTCTGGAATACACAGCTCGTCTGCTACCCTCCTATCGCCCCATACTCTCTACCAGCAGTCAGCTACCCTCGTGCCAATCCATACTCTCCACTTCCGAACGCTGCTGGTCGCTAGAGCAATACCCGTATTCCCCTAGCCTTCGAGATGCCGATGGGCGCTAGTGGTGGCTGATGGGCGCTGGTAGACGCTGTGGAGGCCGCAACCTATGAACGCAGCCTTACATTGCACCTTCCAGAGATCAGTTAGTTTGGAGTTGCGATAAATGTTGAAGAGAGTGAGCAGAAATCGAAACCATTTATTTCAGTCGTTCCCCTTCTCATCTGTATCGCATTCTGATTGCTTGTTCCGGGCCATGGTCTCAAGATATGACGACCTGTTTACGATCATCCGATTTGATGGTTCTTTCGTTTATTTTCCCACATGTAGATGGCGACATCAACTGTTTAGTAAGTTTTGCTGGATTACATTTGTGAAGTTACGATGCACAAGCAAAAGGGTCGGTTACAGGCAAAGGATGACCTACTTCTGGAATACACAGCTCGTCTTCTTGACGTTGAACTGATCTCAGGACTACGACTCACTTTCCCAAATTTATTACATGAACAGACGTTGCGGTTAAAAACACACATCAATACGAAGCTGTGGTAGCTGATGATAGAAATGCGTCTTTCCGAATTTTAGTTATTATTCTGAGTCGAGCTTTTTATTTACCACTTGTTTCTTTGAACTGAAGAAAATTTATCTTACTATTCGGGTATCGTTCTGCGGTTTGTGCCATTTGAACGTTCTTCCTAATTAGAAAGGAAGTCAGTTTTCCTACAGACGCAGAACGCTCTGTCAAAACTTACTCGGTTGGTGGCAACCTCACTACCGTAATCACAAGCATAGTTATTAAGTATGTGTAGTAATATCAGTCTGTAAAGATCGGTGCCGTTCAAAGAAATATTCTCTTTCAAATGTCTTTTTCTCTTCGTTTTTACTTCTCTGGGCTCGTCTTTTTTCACTTACTATTGTTACGTTTTAGACTGATAATATAGAATTCAAGGAATTGATTATTTATAGATAGGATATGGTGCAATAGAGTGATGAAAAGATGTTTGATGAAGAAAGATTCTAATGTTCAATAAATCTTATAATATACATAGTTGACGGAGATCTGACACAATCAATACAACAACTGCTACTTATCTACTTATCCTGTTTATCAACATGAGATAAACAGGATAAGTAACAAAAAATGGGCACTATTCAACTACTACTACTCCAGGAATTCAAGAAGTGTTTTTTGGTGAAACTTCGCCACAAGGGAAATTCGATTCCCTTTTCACGAGTATGGTATCGTGTTCGACGCTGGAGCTATTTTGCACTCTTTTTCAGCATAATCGATAAAAACCTGCATAGCATGCTTGTTTGATGCCCTGATCCCGGACATAGCATTCATGACACCAGAACCATTTAGCACTCCGCATAATCTGAGGCTGGGGAAAGGAGTGATTCCCTTCCGGCTCCTAACCTCAGCTGAGCGCAGATGATCGTAGTGTCCAAGCGCCGAACGCCAAGATTGAATGTCATGTTTGTAATCAGGAATTCAAATGATCACTACATACAAGTTTTCAACCGATCGGGTGATCTAGGGTATCTCGGCGCCTGTGGCGCGTGCGGATGTGATATTCGTGTTTAGAAAGTCGAAACACCCCTAGGGCCGAATTTTCAGCTAAAATTGATCTGTTTTAGGAAGGCGTGGTAGCACCTGTGAACAGTGTCAAAAATGCGTTGAAAACACAGCCGAATGCATGAAATCCCCTACTTATGCCCACAAGCAGCCGGCCGACAAGAGCGATGCCGTTTGATTCCTGAAAATCCCGCAACAGCCTTCAGTTATAAAGTGTTGTGTACGTAGTCTCGACGTACAACCCTCCCCTCACTCGCAACACCTTTAACATCGCTCATTGTGCCCGGATGCCTCGGTTAACCTTTTTCATCCGTTTTGAGCTATTTTTCGCGAAAGCGCAAGAGCATTAACACAATAATGCGGACAACTCGGGAGCCCTGTGAGCTTATGCGATAAGCCTGCGGCTAGATTTCTGCGCTCTTTCAGACCAAGAAAGAAGCACGACACAGACTATCTACTTCAGGAAGGGAATTTGACACTTGGCTGAGCGTGCAGTGCCTTCGAACTTTCATTCCATGATAGTTCAGGACTGTGTTGAGCCGACAGAGAAATGAGGCTATTGATTTTGCGACTTATATTGAGAGACGTGATAAGAAAAACACAAACGGCCAGGCTTGGACGAGTCTTCATCAGTTGCGTTCCCTTCACTGAGATCCTCATTATCTGTCATTTCATAATAGCTAAGTGTTACCCTCCATTTCCACATTTACGGAATGGGCTGAAGAGTTTGGCTGCACGGCAGATGCTCCGGGGGAGTAATAACGTTGTGAATATGAAAACTAAGGTTTTATGATTTTTATTTGCTCTGACCAGAAGAAACTTGCCTCATCTTGTTTCTAAAAGTGTTGAGTGTATCGGAGCTTCGCTTGATGCGGCATTGTCCAGTTGCACCACTGTTTTCCCTCGTCAGTGTGGCAGAGTTCCACCATTCACATGCAATGGTTGTGACGTCCGTCCGGTTATCATTCCAAGGGAAGCAGTGCGGTAGACAGAGATCGCAGGCGGTAGTGGTGTAGTGGTCGCATCGATGACATACCACACAAGATCTTTGGCGTCTCTGAAAAAAGCTGTTCATGAACGAACGAAAAAAAGACCGTGCGTGCCAATTGAGAAAGGAGCTTCATTGACTCCAAATTACTAACTCAACGTTACAATTATGAAGAAAAAAGCGAAACATAAAAAAACAAGTATAAACGGAGCAGAACATGAAAAACAAGCATTAAGAGCAGAATAGGAAAAAAGACGCAGAGAACAGACAGAACAGTGCTTTGTCCATAGTGTTGCGCGTGAAGTAGGGAAAGTTGTATGTACGACTGCCACAACTTTTTTACAAATGAAGCCTGCTGCAAAAAGTTCAGGGGTCTAGACGGCATAACTCCGTCCGATAACCTCAAAGAGTGAGTGAAGAGGGTCGTCAACATAGGGCGCCAACGCATTGTGATGAATTACTACTGAATAGGAACCTCCTTCAAAAGCGGTTTTAGCTACGTTTCCCACCTCCCCCCTTCAAAAAAGTAATACCGAATTATGTACTTGAATTGCGAAAGTTCGCACATTTGAAAATTCCTCGCGAGCGTTCAAAACGCTTTTTCACCGTAGCACTAGAGCGAGCTGTTTCCGACGTGGGGAAACAACAAAGCTAGAAACAAGAATTCTCAGGGAAAGCTTCCTCTGCTGGCGGATCGCTTCTGAGAAACGATTCCATTTCCATCGAGAATCGCAGCATTCAGGCTTCCGAATACCACACTGGATATGTGCACACTGGACAGTGGTCACAGCCGCTGCGCAAGTCAGCGTCTCTATCCTCCCTGACGAGTGCGAGAATATTCAAAGTACTCCGAAGGAATGAGAGCTTGGTTGACTCATGCGGGAGCTTATTTGAGGGAGGTTGGTGGGAACTGACCCATTGTAGGGACCTATTGACTATCCAGTAAGGAAATTAACTGAGTCAAATTTGTAACGTATCAATGTGCAACATGCTCTGGGCGAATACTATTATACTTCACTCCCCTCACCTTCCCTTCTCCCAAGATTGCATAATATTGGCATAGGATGGGCCTGAGGTGAGTGAAGACGCAGTGACACTCAGTGCGCGGCCGAGAGCCTAGACAACGCAGCGTGGATCACACAGCCGTACGCACGGGCGAGAAATCAATTGCAGCAGCAGGCAGTATAGGCGTGTGAGCATTTATGTTCTGGTTCGTGTGGCTGAAGTGTACCTTTTCGCAAGGCCGTTCTGATCGTGTTCGGTGAGAAGATCTGATACCCGGTCTGTGCGTCTGGAAACAGGTCTTTGTTCTTGCCACATATTCACTCTGACAAATGGTAAGCTAGCAGTGTAGATCAAATGACCCAAAAGCCATTAAGGAGATGAGGGCGTGGCTCACCCTTCCAACAAGAGCAGACTCCTACCTAGAAAAAAACTCCACAAAAGTGTATGACGTTGCTGATTGTTTAGGACAATGGAAGTAGAGCTTATTTTTCTTTCGGTGAGTGCAACATCCACGGATGGGTTCTTTACTGGGATTGAGTTAAGAGCGGAATACTGCCTCCCGAACGGCGTCATTCTCACATGAAAGCAACGTGAATCCGATTACCAGAATCTATTCCTCCTGCGACGAATTTTTTTTAGCATAATCTCCGGACGTGGTTCACAAGTGCTGTACGTTGAAAACACTGTGCAATAGTATGAAATGGCAGTCATTCTTGTCTCTAATCTATTGCTATTTCTTGATTTTGCTCATATTATATTTCATTTGTTTATTTACTATTTCACTCTTAATTAGATTTTTATCATTTTTGAAGTAGTCTGTACACTTCTTTCAACAAAACAAGCAACGCTTGATTGAACTTGGACCACTCAGATTGCGTTCTTCTAGATAAAATATCCCCCTATTATGATCGACTACTTCTTGGGGCTGGCTGTAGTACATTCTCTTGGGGCAAACTAAAGTATTTGAAATTTGTGAAACACTGCGTGGAACATGAAATAGCCGCAATATGTAGTAAACCATCCGCTAACAAACAAAGACTGCTCTAATTCGTGCTTTATGAATAAATTGTGCTTTATAGACACTTTTAAAAACTATTTTGTACTCCATACACTGTACACTGATACTCTTCTTCACATGTACGTATTCATGCAGTAAAATTTTGCGGAGCTGTTATGAAAGGTGAGCGCATTTTTATAGTTCAGTCGAGGTATAATTGCACACTATGCCTCTGAACGTTCAAAACACTTTACTGTTGGAATGATGCTTTTTGTCTACATGACCTGGGTATCTTGGAGGATTTAGTTTTTACGATGTATACGGAGTAGTTGCAAGTACATGGTATGCGCGTGATCTGAAGGCAAGTACTCTTATGAGCTCTCTACCCAGCCTTCCGGGACCGAGCGACCAGAAATTGACCATAGGCAATGTAGGCCGGCATGGGCTTCCTTGAGTCTAAAACCTGAGCTTTTGTGCTTTGTTTGCCAATTTTCAAGTTTTGAATGTGTTGCGACCACTGTGATCGCGTACTGGATCACCTTGCTCATTTAAAAGAGTTCAAGCGCCCTGTCCTCTAAAGCAAAGCTCATGCTAGTGCACTGCTCCACAGGTATTCACAGGTCTCCTACACCCTGTCAATCACAGGAAACATCGGTGTGATCAACGAGAACAGGCGAAACGCCCCCACCAGACTGAACTGCGCCCAAATTTGTTGGGCATTTACGCTGCTCATGGTGTAACTACGAGGACATTTAGAGTTAGCTTCAGCGCTGCTGATATAACTGGTGCTTCAGATCTGAACGAAACGGCCCTTTTGTTGGGATTGTGAGGTTTCAGAGCAGTGGGGAGAAAATCATAAAATGTACGAGACAATCGGACAAACCCTTTATTTAGTCCAGCTTCATCGCGCAAAAGGGGCAATTTGGCCAAGAGTACCCCAATAAGGCACGTCATTTTGCTGCACACTGCGACATCCCCTGACCATG